CCAACAGCCAGGAAATTAAAAGATATATTGCAATGGCAAAGTCTGCTGTCAGGACCTCTCCAAAGTACTGAAGAGCGGTCCATGTGATACAGGTCATGGTCTTCGCAATCACTTGTTATACATCAGAGAGTTGGACAATGACTAAGGAGGATAGAAGAATAATTGATGCCTTTGAGCTGTGGTGCTGGAGAAGAGTATTGAGGGTACCATGGACTGCTAGGAAAACAAACAGATTCATAGTGGAGAGGGTTAAACCGGGCGGCTCCTTGGAGGCAAGGATTCTGAGGCTCCGTCTAACATAGTTTGGACATGTTGTAAGGAGAGACCAGTCCTTAGAGAGGGGCATCATGCTTGGTATGGTGGAGGGACAGCGCAGGAGGGGAAGGCCCTCTATGAGGTAGATTGATTCAGTGACTGAGGTAATCGGGATGGGTGTATCAGCGATAGTGCAATTGGCACAGGACAGAGCAGAGTTTAGGGCTGTTGTACATAGAGTCGCTATGAGTTGCAAGCGACTCGACGGCACATAACAACAACAATGTCACTGCTCATGAAGGAATGCTTAACTAAATAAGGCAGGTGCAAAACATTGAAATAACACATCTCAGAAACAAAACAAAAGAATTTCACTCACATTACAAATTTATTCTTCCACACGCTCTGTTATTATTTTATCTACCATTTCAACCAGAAAAAGGAGTAACTCACTCTGAATAACTACTTAAGATTACTACCTGTCATTTTATTTACATTCACTCCCTCCTCCAACAACCCACAAGAGAACTTACAGATACCTGCTAAAATAAGTGGAAAATAAGAGCCTGTCATTTCTCATATATATCTCTCTATACTAACCTGGTTAATATTATTATTCCCATTTTACAGATGCTTTTTTTTATAAAAGTTCAGTAAGATTAAGAAAGTTGTCCAAGGTCAAACTTGTAACAAGATAAAACTCTCCCAACTGCCTTCCAGTCAATTCCAACTCATGGCCACGCTAGAGTGGGTTTTCTAAACTGCAGGGTAACTGCTAGATTCAATCTGTTGTCCTTCAGTTAGCAGCACAACAGATAATGGACAAGGGCTCTAGCAAGCAAAGCTGGAAATCCAATCCAAATCTCTCAAAGTTCACTGAACCCATTTTCCGCTCAGATGAAGTTGTAACTCTGATGACCAAAGAGAAAAACATCAAAATGAAGTTATTTTGTTGTTTGTTTTCTGAAGTGTACATCTTGTCAATATGCACAGACACGAAATCACGGGTTCAAAACAATAGCTGCTTCACAAGCGGAAACAAGCAAGACTACCACTGAAGCTAGCCGGAGTGATTCAATGCTAACGGGGGAAATCCTGCTCTAGATACCAAGTGACTCTATGGGCATAACTCGGCAATACTGCAGGTTCCTTTCCAAAGCATCAATAAAACGGGTATCACAATAAAGCAAGTCGTAAGAATGTTCTGGGGGTTTTTTAAAATTTCTTAGTGCATACAAAGAAGTTCTGGTAGCTAATCCATAGCATGTTGCCCTGCTACCAAAAGCCCCCGCAATTCCAGCGGTTTAAATCCACCAGCGGCTCCCAGGCAGAAAGAAGAGCAGTCCCTTCCGGTTATGATCACAATCATGGAACCAATGGAGGGAGGTTATGAGTTAGGAAACGATTCAATGGCAGTGAGTCAGAGAACATAGAAAAGGTATGTTCACAAGATATTATAGTCTAGTGCATGTGAAATGTTGTTGTTAATTGTGTACCATCAAGTCGGAATCGACTCATAGCTGACTCTCTGGCAAGTTTTCCTAGGCTGTAACAGCACAGGAGACGGTCCATTTTTCTCAGGCGGAGCAGCCGATACGTTTGAAGAGAGTTCTTTTGTGTTGACCACGCAACTCCTTACCTTTAAGCCACCAGAGCTCTTTAACGTGTATGATATAAGTGTGGAACATTGTGAGAATTACCCAAATGTACACATAGTCATGAAGTGAGCACATGCTTTTGGAAATAACTGCAACAATTGAGTTTGCTCAACAAACAGGACAGACTGACTTTCAGTGTCTAATAAAAAAATACAGCATTTTTTGTTGTTGTTGTTACATGCCTTGGAATTGGAATCGACTCATAGCTGACGCTCCAGTGGGTTTTCAGATGCTGTTAATTTAGCACAGGAGGAAACTGCCCATCTTTCTCCCGCAGAGGAGCTGAAGGATTCGAACTCCTTGCCTTTAGGTTGTTGTGTTGCTATGTGCCGTCAAGTCGCCTGCGACTCATAGCAACCCTATGTACAAGAGCCCTAAACCCAACTCTATCCTGTGCCAACCTCACCGTCTCTGACACACCTACCCCCATTACTCCAGTCACTGTGTCAATCCACCTCATTAAGGGTCTTTCTCTCCTGTGCTGTCCTTCCAACCTCCCAAGGATGATGTCCCTCTCCAAGGACTGGTCCTTCCTTATAACATGACCAGAGTATGTCATATGAAGCTTCAGAATCCTTTCCTCCAAGGAGCAGCCCGGTTTCACCCTCTCCAAGACAAACTTGTTTGTTCTCCTAGAAGTCCATGGTATATTCAACACTCTTCTCCAGCACCACAGCTCAAAGGCATCAATTTTCTATAACCCTAGTCACTGTCCAGCTCTCCGATGCACAGCACGCAATTTCAAAGCACTTGCAAAGTAAAATGAGGTATGCCTGCCTATGAGAGGTGATAAAGTGTTCCAATCCAGCAACTGGCACGATCTTAGAATGCCACCTGAGGGAACGAACTTCTGCCTTTGTTTATGTAGCTGCTATAAATGGCTTTTGTAGTGGTGCAACATTTCAGGCAGCATTAAAATATACTTCCATTCTGAGGTGCTGTGCTCTCTCTAATATTTGTGCTCAAAATTATAGGTGAATGAATAATCAAAAGGTGACTGGGTTTTGGTAAAACAGACTGGGGTCATGGATAAGGAATCACACCCCTCACCTCAATATTCTTATTTACACTTACTCTTTTTACCACTGCAATAATCCCAGGTAAGCAATATTTTATCTTGACCAGACTTCCTGGAATGTTAGTTGTACAATTTGTATAGTTTTGATATATTACACAAGGACAATTCAGAAACACAGTTTTTAGAGGTCTGCTGCCCCTAAGAGTCACATATGGTCCTTTGGAGGTCTGAGGAATACAAAGGCGTTTAAAGAACTGTTCGGATTCTTGTAATTAAGCAGGATGACAAACACGGAAAACATGTGCCCTGCTGACGTCATGGAACGGAAAGAGGTGGTGTCCTGCTGCGTCATGCGAACGTCATACAGCGCACGAGGGAAGTTACCCCGGGGAGGCAATTTCTCCAAGGAACAACATTCACGAAAGACAGGTCGGCTCGAACCAAATAATGACCACCACACTCGTAAGAACACCTCTAACGGGCACGATCCCCCTCATCTGACAGGAAGTTAGAAAGAGCCCTAGGGATGTAATCAGGAACCAGGGGGCGGGCCAGACAGTGGAGAAAAAGATAGAGGCCTTTTTGGCTCGTTCTTCAGGTACCAACGTGACAGGGGGAGCAAAGCATCTTTGGAACAGGGGCCTTCTCTAAGAAAAAGAGGCACGCCTCTGGCCATATTTAAACCATGGCCCTCAGCGCCATCTGTGTAACTCGGGATCCAACCGCCCCACACCAGCCCCAGACCAGGTACCTGGAACTTAGTCCGATCGGTAACCGGCGACTACGTGGGGTACAGGTTACCCGAGCGCGCGCCCAACCAACACACTGAGCTGCGCGCGCACCGCGAGCCGGATGCGTGCGCGATCCCTGGACGACGGGCGTCTCACCCCGCCCCCTTTGCGACCCGGGAGCTGGGCGACGTGCGCGCCCCCGCCACGCCGAGGCCGGCACTGGGAAAGGAGTGTCTGCAGCGCTTGCGAGTTCCTGCCGCAGCGCCTGCATCTTCCTACCAAGGCGCCTAACTCCTGGGTGGCGGAGAGCGCGGGCTCTAAAATACAAGCAGGGCTCTGTAACATAAGGCAGTGACTGGAGACAATTCCTGGAAGGACAGGGGCAATTCGTGGGAGGGATTATTTCGGGCATTCCAGTGGGCGCCCGGGGTTAGCGTTGGAAAGGCCCGCGTCGTTAAGAGACTGTGGGAGCGGCGTCTGTGGTTACTGGGTTGGGCAAAGGCCGAAGGTCAGCGTCCAGGTTGGAAAGTACTAGGTGTTAGAAATGGCTGCGTCTGGGGACCCTGGGAGGCCGTGGCAGGAGGCGGCAGCCGCTGTGGTGGTGGTGGGCTCCTGCATGACCGACCTGGTCAGGTTAGTCCGCGCCCAGGACACAGTTCTGTGGTTCGGGGAGGGACCACGGGAGGTTCCCACTGGGGGGCTTGGGCCTTTGGAGACTGTTCTTTTGGGGGGGGCCAGCAGCCTCTTTCACGTAGTGGAAGAGGTTTAATTTGAGCATGTGAAATGACTGATCGGGTGAAGGAGCACCGAAGCTAGACCTTATTTATTAATATTTTAGTTCGCTCCGAAGCCCACCAGGCTGCTGAGCGCTGCCCCTGACTACTGCTGTGACTAAAGCCCTCTGATGGGGAAGGAACCTACCTCACAGGGTTGTTGTGAGGACTAAATGAAGAAAAATGGTATGAATCATTACGCCATCCAGGTTGGGTATTTGGCAGAATGGGTCAAGCAAGTAAAAGAGTATTATCAGTCTCTGGTAGAAGAAAGAAAAGAAAGATACGGTGCTATTTTATAAAGAGGTGCGAAAAGTGTAATTATGCTGCTGTCCAGTCGACTGATGGCAGTTAACGTTGTAAAGCAAAATTTGAAATCAGTTTGCTTTGTAAAGTTTAAGTCAAGGCACACACACAAAAAAAGTCGCATTTCACAATGCTGTAATGGCCACCCACTGAACCAAAAAAAATTTAAAAAAAAAATAACTAAAACCAAAGGGGAAAAAAATGCTAAATAAAAATTAGTTGAGGTAGGTTGGTAAAGATCAAGTAATTGCTCCAAATGCTCTTTCCGTTTTTTTAATGGACATTTTTTTCCCCCTGAACACACACCGATGCACACATAGAGCTCTGGTGGCCTAGAGGTAAGTAGCTGTGCAGCCCACCCAAAGGCACACAGTTTGAAACCACTATCTGCCCTACTGTTGGAAGGTGCTACTACTGTACAGTTTTACTGTCTCTGAAAAACAGCCAGCGGGTCACCTGTGACATTGTTCTGACTCTGTTATGTAACAACAACATATATTCATTCATTGGGGGGAAAAAATTAAAAAAGGAAAAGAAAATCCTGCCACTCAGATTACTTGTTAAGTATTTTCGTGAATCAACTCATTGTCCCTGAGTTGTTATATACTGTCAAATTGGAACTCAAAACACTCACACAGGCTTTTCACAGGCTGTAAATTGTATGAGAGGAGATTGTCCATTTTCTACTGAGGAGTAGCTAGCTGGTGGATTTGAACCACGTACCTTTGGATTGGAAGTGCAACACTGTACACTAGACCACCAGAGAGCCCTTTTAAAGTTGCAAAAGCTGTTCTTATTTACCTCATCATAGAATAAGTTTCTGACCCCTGTCTAGGGCTTCACTGTCTTAAGACCCACTGTAGCAGTTGATATTGCTAGTAATGACTTTTTTCAAAGAAAACTAGAATTGTACTCATTAGCTTGTATTTCATTTTAGAAACACTAGCAAATGAAACAAATTTAGTTACATAAATGACAACTAAAATAATTCATTTATTTGAAAAACCCATCTGACTAAATTTTTACTTTCATAGATGAAAAAAAGTAAACCATGTCCTTGGCACATGAGCTATAAGTTGTCATCGTTAAGATTTAATGTTTAGCAAACTAAGTTTTCTGTGACACTTAGCCATCACACACTAAAGATAGCTATCATTATTTCTAAAACTAATAAACCTCAAATTTAAGAAGAGTAAGAGGACCAATTTTTACAACCACTTATCAATCCGTCTCATTAAGGATCGTCTTGTTCACTGGGGTAATTGGCATGGGTGTATCAGAGACAGTGTGACTGGCACAGGACAGCAGAGTTTAGAACTGTTGTATATAGGGTCGCTATGAATCGCAAGTGACTCAATGGACATAACAACAGCAACAACCACCAAACGTGGTGTCTTTCTCAGTGGACTGATCCTCTGGCAACGTGCCCAAAGTGAGAGTCTTACCATCCACCATCCTTGCTTTTAGCAGTATTCTGACTACACGCCTTCCAAGACAGATTTGTTCATGGGTTACTGTTCACCAACACTACAGTTTTAAGTCATCAACTCTGGTAGTCTTCCTGATTCACCTTAGTCCTCAAAGTGGCATCTTTGCTCTTAAGCACTTTAAAGAAGTATATGACAACAGATTTGCCTGGGGCAATATGTCCTTTGATTTCTTGACTGTTGCTGCCATGGGTGTTGATTGTTAGCCCAAGCAAAATTCTTAACCACTTCAGTCTTTTCTGTGTTGGTCATGATGTTGCTTATTTGTTCAGTTGTAAGGAATTTTGTTTTCTATGTGTTGAGGTATAGTCCATACTGAAGGCTATAGTTGCTGATCTTCAGGAAGTGCCACAAATCATCTTTTCTTTCAGCAAGCAAGATTATGCCATCTGCATAACAGGTTCTTGATGAGTTGTCTTCCAATCCCAATGCCATGTTCTTGACATAGCCATGCTTCTAAGATTATTTGCTCAGTATATATATATATATATATATATATATATATTGACTAAAGGTGGCCTAGCAGCAAGAAGCTGCACTGCAATCCCAAAGGCACTACTTTCAAGGCCACCAACTTCTCTGCGAGAAGAGGATGGGCAATCCCGTTCTGTATGATTAACTGCCTCTGGAAAACTGCTGGAGGGTCAGCTGTCGGTCAGTTCCAATTCTCTGTACACAACAACGCTCATACATAACTCATTTAAACACGCTCAAACTCATTGCTGTACAATTGGTATGGACTCATAGCTGACTCTCCTTTGGGCTACCAACACAGCTCCCTACAAACGGAATCAGTCCTTTCACCATACCAATTCAATATATGTGTTGAATAGCATGGTGAAAGGTACAACCCTGGTGTACAACTTTCCTAATTTTAAACCATGCGAGTTCCTAATTTTAAACTCTTGTTTGAACACTGGTCAATATACAAGTTAGCCTGAATATAGTGATAACTAGCACCTTTCCTTTATGACCTTCTAACTTTCACTTGATTATTTATCACCTGTTTCATCTCTTCTTTATTTGTGAGTCTGTAGCCTGTGTATTAAGCTTTTACTTCATAATTTAGGAAGAAGTAACAAGCATTTATCATTTTGAGATCTAATGATAATGTCTTGATTTTTTTTGTGTGCCTTATTTCATTCCTAAATTTGACAATAGCTGGGACACCCAAGTCTACATAGTAGAGCTCACTTTAAAACTAACCATGGTAACTGAGTCTTGGATGCCATCCAAGTCTAACTCACTTTATTTATTGGATTAGTGTGTGCCAGACACCAGTCATTCAGTCAATAAGCAACTTTTTCTTTCGTTTCAATCTGCTATGAATAGTAAGCTCTGTTTAATAATAGTTTTTTTTAGAATCATTAACTTGTCCAGTATGGAAAATAATGGGCCTTATTTCAACCCCACCTTGTATATATAATTATTATTTCCTTCCTGAATACTCATCTGTGAAGTTCCCGTTGCAAAGATAAGATAAATTAAACCTGGTCCTATGGAAATTAATGTCACAGATAGGTTCCTCCCAAGAGAAATTTTGACAAAATAAATATTTTAGACATTAGGTACATAGAGCATGTTTAATTGTGCTTTTATTAATAACCTAATTTCCTGTGACATATAAGCCATTTTTCAATTACTCATCCACCAAATATTTTTTGCTTATACTATGTGGCAGATCCTGCCCTAAGTGCTAAAAATATATCAGTAAAGAATACATAAAAACTCCTTCCTCATGGAGTTTACATACTGGGGGCTGGAGTGGGTAGGGAAACTGGTAGTATCAATATAAATAAGTAAAATGCATAGTATGTTAGCTTAATGCTACAGAGAAAAGTTAAAAGAGGAAGAGTTTCAGTAATAACTTATGTATTGTTAACCTAGCTGGTTTTCAGAAGCTAAATCTCATATGAGGAGATTGCCCATCTTTTTCCCATGGATCAGCCAGTGGATTCAAATCTCACGCCTTTGGACTGGCAGCACAGCTGCTTACCAGTAGGCCACCAGAACTCCCTAAAGACCTGTGTTGTTAAGTGCCATCAAGTCGTAGACGACTCATAGTGACCCTATGAAC